TACTACTACTATACTACGTACTACTACTACGTACTACGTACTACTACTACTACTACTACTACTACTACTACTACTATATATATATATATATATATATAGTATATATACGTTGAATATTATTTATGATTTTAAAACTTCACTGTATTAAAATTATAGACTAGCAATATTTTTTTCTGTGAGAAAATTGTATTTTTGAAATAAGTATTAAACATATTTTTCTCTTAAATGTTTAAATTGTACTTCTAAGTTTGCCTAAGTCTTTAAGTTGTAAGGTATATTTTTTTTAGGTGCAATGCATGATGTTTTAGAATGCAGTTAAGGTTAGGTATATGGTAAATTCAACATTCTGAATAATTTCAAATAGGAAAGGGATTTGTTCAAAATATTGCTGTATGTGTGATTGATTACTCACTTAGGTGTGGGATAATTTAATGGATATTTATACAGTGGTTTTTAAATGTATAATATATCATTGTCTTTTTACAGTATTTAGTTGCAGTGTTACGTGTAACTATCAAACACACTCTGTAAAGTCACGAGTTGGTTCTACATTTTCTGTATAAACAGGAATTGGTTCCCGAGAGATGATTTCTGTTCTGTACCAATACTTGTTTGTTTCTGGCAATAAAAAAACTTGTAATAGTCCAACTAAGTTTTCTGTATTTGAAAATGTAACTAGTCTAACATTGTTTTATCATGAGTTGTGGCATTAAAGCTTCGTATCTTATGTTTCAGAAGCTTTAAGTATTCTGTAGGGTGTCATTTTAAATTGAAAAATAACCTGTGAGTGATAGAATTAAAAGCAAAGCTGCATTATGCAGTAATTCAGTTTGATTTTATTTTGTCTTACTCTTAAAGGAAACCGTTATAGAAATAGAATATTTTGAACGTTATCCAACACCAACACCTCAAGATAGTCTTGTTCATGATGACTGGGTTAGTGGGGTACAAGCCTGTAAAGACTGGTAAGTTTCTGAAGCACGTTTCATTTTGAATATGCAGTTAGTAAAAAAAAATAGTGGTTATATCGTCTGTATGTATCATTTGTATGGTACACAGATTATGAGAGTTAAAAAATAAAAATTTTGTCTAATCGTTTTTTGGATTTGACTACAAATGTTTTTTTTGTTGTTGTATTTTTATGAGGTTTCAGATAGAAATCTTAATTTTTTTTTGACCAATACCTACATTACTTTCAGTATTCTCAGTGGTCAGACCCATAAACATTATGTTGTAACAATGAAGATTTCTTAAAGGACAGAGCAAATTATATAAGGTGTTTCTGACAAATGGATATTGTAGTTACTTTTTGTCTGATAAGTGCTCTGAGTATTACGAGTTACTGAATGTTTTTTTTTATGTTAAATAAAATGAAAAGTTAAATCAGTTATTTAATTTTCTCAAATAAGCTTTTAATGAGTTTGCATGTTTTTTTTTTTTTATAAATAAACAAATGCAGTTAGAGCATGGTCAAAATCCAAAAATGATTAGAATGTAATAATAAGAAATTAGTCAACCTTTTGTCCAAATAACTCAGTTTTTACAATATGTATTCTCTGAACATACTTGTGCAATTGTCGTTGAGCTTATTGTCTCTCAGTTGGTGTATCACTCATTAAGAATGCCTACGTGTGACTTACAGATTCAGTTTATGAAGAATCTGGATTAATTTTTCAGCGACTAATTATGAGAACGGTCAAACTATATTCTATTTTTCTAACTGCAGGATTTTAACTGGATGCTATGACAACACAATTCAGTTATGGACCATCGAGGGAAAACATTTGTTAACCATACCCGGACACATTGCTCCTGTAAGAGCTGTGGCCTGGATAGAAGTGGGTGAGTCTTTATACCCTAAAACATATCTGTTGTGTGAGAGTGGATACAGTTTGAAAAAAAAAAGGCCTTTGTTTTTATAAACCTGAGTTCATTACTACTTCTTGATATACATAGTAGTTTAAAAAATGTATTTTATTTTTTACACCATTATCCCAGTAAGAACTATGATCTAGATGAAAGTCAGTTATAACTTTTTTTTTGTCCTAAGTACAAGTGTAATGTGAGAATTACTTGATTGAAACTAGTAAGAATTCTATTTGTAAAGTCCAGGAAGCATCAGTTAGTTAGGATTGATGTTTGTAATAACTTTTCTTTGTAACCCTGAACAAATTTGTTTTGATAAAAGCTATAATCTGAAGAGCCTAGGTGTCGGCTAACAATACGAAGAATTAAATTATGGCGGAATGCTACAAGTTCTTCAAATACCTATATAATGATAGGTTTCTTTTTTGTAAATGAAAAACACTTAAATACACCATTTTGATTTTCGATACCTCACTACATTAAAGGCTTGGTGTGGTCTAATATTTCATTGGTGGTAGTGTCTAGGGTCACTGATGAGGAGTGGAATTCTCCAAACTAGTCTGGCTTGCAGACACACCCCCAATGAAAAATAGACCATTCCAAGATTTTACTTGTTGTTAAACAAATGTTTAAACAACTCTATTCAACAATGAAGAGAGATTAATTTATTGTTATTAATAAGAACTTTATGTGTATCACATTAGAGGTTATTTTTAGACATATCTCTACAGCAGGATGCGATCTGAACATAATTTCTAAATAAAAACTAGTAATTTGATTTGAGGCATCTGTGGGCTGCTTCTGCTTTAGAACGTTTTAGCTGCTGACCCAGTTCTAATGATCTGCACCAGTGGCTCAAAACCCAAAAACCTTCTAAGGCAGATACAGTTATTGGAAATATCCAGTCAAGTACAGTCACAGTCTTCTCTGCCTATATCCAGTCAAGTACAGTCACAGTCTTCTCTGCCTATATCCAGTCAAGTAGTCACAGTCTTCTCTGCCTATATCCAGTCAAGTAGTCACAGTCTTCTCCGCCTTAACACTTTCTTAAATAAAAGCTAATAATGTTTTTTTTTGTTTTCCTTTTCAAATAGGATGTGACGTAACAATTAACAGATGAGACATTTTTTTCACATTTATGGACGTATTTCCTCTAGTCAGAGCTCTTTTGCTTGGAATGAAATGGGGAAATATTTTGTTATATAAATTATTTGATTGTGTACGTGTGGATCTCATTACTGGTATTACATAGTTCTTTTAATGCTAATGATAAGACAGTTAAACAGTATTTTGAAGTGAAAGTAAAAATTATTTCTCTTATTGGCAGGTTACATATAAATTTGCATATTATTTACATTATCTTTGCATAATGCTGCACAATGAACGTCCAGGGTAACTAGATTCGTTGTGTCTATTAGAACTTTAGTGTTTTTTTGGTAGAAATGAGAAAAAGAAGCTGTAATTCTTCTTTATTTATATTACTTTCTGTTTATAATCAACCAATCTTTCAGGTGATCCGATAAGTACCTTTGTTAGTACATCACATGATGAAACAGCTGTCATCTGGCAGTGGAATCAACAAACAAATGCCATAGAATGTGTCAATGTGTGTCGAGGTCATGCACGAAGTGTCGATTGTGTGGGGGTGGACCCATCACAAGGAAGAGTAAGTAACATGAAGGTTATTCACTGAGAATGAACTATGGGTTACTCATTTCATCAGAGAAAGGGGGTACAGATAGATGGGTGTGTCCAATATACTTACACATATTTTAGACTATCTACAAGTGAATATACTACAGAGAGAGAGACTAATATATGAATCTGAGATTACACTGTTGCTTGTTTACTTCTTAGCCAGCTAAATATAAAAGCTCAGATAAAGTAAAATAAACACAGGTTGAATACGTACCTGCAGCACATGAGAAATATAATCAGGATTCAACAAAGGTAAAAACACAGTTAAAACTTTGTATAATTTATGAAGCCTACTTGGTTAAAAGTATTCTGTCCCAAATTGATTAAAGATAGTTTACAGTGTTTGCTAAAAAATTGTCTTTTCTTTCATTTGGTGACATCTTAAGCTGCTTTTCATAAAATAAAACAACAGAAACTATTCGTCTGATTTTAAACAGTTTGTTGTTTCAAATAACACTAGTATTAACAATCTGTTTTATCAGAATACTGTTTTTAACTGTCATTACATGCAATACATTTCCAAAAAGTCCTGGGTCCTGGATTCTCTCATGCCATCTTAGTTAACATTCATCTAATTTATTGTTTGTCTCATGCCATCTTGGTTACCATTTGTACCATGCCATCTTGGTTACCATTTGTTCCATGCCATCTCATTTAATGTTCATTTCCTGCCTTCTTATTTAACTTTCATTTCCTGCCATCTCATTTAACATTCATCTCATGCCATCTTGGTTACCATTTGTTCCATGCCATCTCATGTAATGTTCATTTCCTGCCATCTCATTTAACGTTCATTTCCTGCCATCTCGATTAACATTCATCTCGTGTGCCATCTCGATTAACATTTATGTACATTTTTCAATCAGAGGTAGCACCCCTATAAATCTATTTTGCCACTACAGTTCATTTTGTTATCCTCTTTAAGTTTTGGAGGCTGACTTTTATTGAAAGGGTTGCAAAACTGGTCTCATTTGGAAGATGAAATTAAAGAGACTAGAGAAGCTTAATTTTAGTGTAGAGCAAGATTTCTCAATCTTTTTCAAATCATGGCCCAGTCAGTTAATCGATGAAATAGTAAAAGGCTATATGTAGTTGATGACTCATTAGCTTAGGACAGTAACTGTTGTTCTGACCAGTGGTGTCTGGTAACTGTGTGTCTGGTAACTGATCTAGATGAGAATATCATGGGAACTGAAATTAAATTCCACATCTATTGAAAGGAGTTGAACCTAGAAATTTCATTCTTACTAAATCCTTTTTTTATATTTATTGATAAAAAAGTATTTTATATTTCTATGATTTGGAATTTAGTAAACTTTTCCAGTAATATACTGTAATAAGAAATGTTTTATTTTACTTTGAATAACACAAGCCCATACGTTAACCAGTCAAGAACTTAATAAAACCTGTATGAGAAAATGTCACTATAAGTGTAAGGGTTATTTAAACCTAGTAACCAACAACATCGTTGGTGAGCTAAACCTATAGTTGTATTTTAGTAGTTAATGTTGTGGTAAAGTGAGATCATAACAGGTATAGAAAGTTTATTGTAGTCGTTAAACTGTGGATCAATGATGATCACATTTATCACGTGGCATTCTGAAGTATGTTGTCCTTATTTTTTATTTATTTTTTTCTAGTTCGCTACAGGTTCTTATGACCACATGTTGAAGGTTTGGTGTGTAGGTAAGGGAACTAAGATGGTGTTAGAATAGAAAAAAAATGTTTAGTATTCTTTGTCTTATTAAAAAATAAACTTTATTTTATCAATTATTCCATAATAATAGAAAAATATATTCTGTTATAACTTACAGATACAAAGTGTTAAAAGTTTTGGTTTATAACTACAAAATAAGAGTGAACGTTATCTAGAACTAAGCAGGAGTAACATCAAAACTGACCGTTTTTCCTTCATTTATGTTAGTTTTTATTTACTGGTATCCATGAAAGAATAAAAATATATTACAAGTAAATAGGATTAATCTTTATCCTTTGTATAAGATATCAGGACTCAAAAGTAGTAGCCTATTTATGTGGTTATAGTTAGTCAAGTGTTGCTCCTTTTTTGCAACACCAGTAAACAATTTTGATTTTTAGTTTCTTATTTGATCCTCATCTGCCAATTTTATCTGATTCTTTAAGCTCTGGATTAAAGCCATTAGTAAATGTTACTGTGCTATACAGCTCTTTTTTAACTGGAAACAATCTTTAGATGGTTATTATGATACTATTTTATTTTACTTTAAGAGTGTAAATTCTTTTCAGTTTTACATGGTGTTGTACTGTTTTCTAATTCTGTAATAAATGTAAACATTATTTTACATAATATTTTGATTGGGTTACATATGGTCATGTATTGAACAATTTTGCTTAGTAAAATTTAGATGTAAGTTCCGTTAAATTTTTTATGACTACTAAAAGAGACATTACAATTTGCTAACTTTTTTTTTAATTTTTAATTTCGTTGATTAAGTCGCAAATATTCCATTTTTTTGAAACTCTTCAGGAGACCAAGAAGATGGTGCCCTTGAGGCCAATGAAGGAGAAGGGAGTCGGAAACGATTGAAAAATGACGCTGGAAAGAACAAAAATAGAGTAAGTCACTATGTTTTTACACTGATTACATTTGCACCATTATTTAATTATGCTGTTTTCTGTGAGTTTATAGTTTTACAACAACATCCTTAATATGCAATGTATCAAGAAATATTGTTACATCAGCTTAGAGGTATCAAAGTTTTAAACATGGTTTATATAGAAAGTTTGTTTGGTTTATTGAGCAGCATGAAAATAATAGTTACGAGGTATGAAATAAGCAGCCTAGTTACGAGGTATAAAAAATGTACATTCACGTTGTAGTCATGGACTTTTGTGATTCCTGAATATTTTATAGTACTTGTGAAGTCCTTGGTGGTCAGCAGTAAGTTTACATCATTAAAATATGGGATTTGGTTGCACATAGTAGACGGGCACAGAAAGCCCATTGTTTAGCTATGCTGTAAAATCACAAAACAAACAAAGTAACTGTGAAAATTTTTTCTTGTACCTAATATTATGCAAAATCCTAATTATTTTTTTTATAATGCTTGAGAAAATTTTCTCACCACAAATAACTTTCACCTCCTCTGGACTGAGGATTTTTCTGCTTTAAGACTAACTTGTTTTGGTTGATAATAGAAAATTTATATTTTTTTTATCAGCTATAAAAAAAAATCTCACTTTCCACCAATTTTATTTTTAAGACTCCTATCATGACATTAGCGGGTCACAATGAAGCAATTACTGGATTAGAATGGACAAGCCTAGAGGAAGTGTGTACAGCATCCATGGACAACACTATACGGCTATGGGACATTGAGTTGGGTGGCATGAAGTCTCAGTTAGTAAGTACTGAACATGTGATAATTTTTCAAGACTTATTTTGTTTTATTGTTTACAGGGATGTATTTTCTCTCTACATCTGGTTTTGTATTTTGCATCTTTTGATTTATTTCCTGGTTTACTGCCATTCAGGTCAGAGTTCCAACCTGTTTTATTTCACATCATCACTTTATGTTTACTTGTCATTACTCTTAGTGGATATCAATAAGTTTTAGGGCTTATATTGCTAAAATCTGAAGTTTGATTCTAGTAGTGGGCATAGTGCAGATAGCCTATTATGCAGCTTTGTGCTTTACGAACAGTTTACATGTTATGGTACAAACTGGTTTGTATTACAGAGACCTCTTCACTTGCATTTGACCCATTCTGGGTTCCAGTCATCGACCAAATTATTTCATTATTGGCTCATTTTTATTGAAATTTGACAAGCTGTGTTTTTCAAATTAATACTTCCTGCAACTGTATTTGTCTTTCTTATGTTATTTGGATGTTTTGGTGGCTTCTTTAGAAAACATATTTTTCATAATATAATTAATTACGCTTGTCATAAGACTTTAGTATTAGGCATGTTATAATTTTAACACTACATTCGTTATTTAGTATATGAATCACTATTTGTCATATCCATTGCCGATGATGTGTTTCGCTCAATCCGGAGCTCTTCTGGCCAGCTGGAATACAACAAACGTAGTAGTGATTGGAACATTATTTATGTAATCCATATGATACAACAACAATTGTTATGGTATGTAAACCTTCAAGAAGGAGAGTGTATAACTGTACTTTAACTACACTAGGTCCAACATTTCCAGCTGGTAAGAGGTATTTACACCATAACGATTGTTGTTGTATCAAATGTATTATATGAATTGTGTTCTGACCACAACTGTGTTTGTTGTGTCATCAGCAATGAACATGAGGAGACACAGTGTGGTTAAAATACTGTTACACACTCTTCTTCTTGAAAAACCATAAGGAACTGAATAAAGACTGTAATGTTAAAGAAATAGGCCTTTTACTAATGTCTTAGGACAATTATGATCATGCTTTACCATTTAGAAAAGGTTTTCACACCGTAACAATTATTATTATTTTTTATTACATTATGGACACATGCAAACCATGACAGCCTATTGTATAGTTTTGTGTTAAAACAAACTTAAAATAGATTATCTTACCTAGAATTCTTGTCTTGTGAGAGACATTCCTTCTTCGTGAACATTTCATGTTTCATCTTTTTCCTTTCAAGTGTTTCAGCGAGCTACTTACCTTATTTTTTCTGCTACCTGATCCTTTTATTTTGTGAAATTTTACTCTGTCATCCCAAGTCTTT